GCAAAAAAAGGATATTAAAAGGGAATCAAAAGAGGTTGAGGAAGCCGGGAACTAAAAAAGACGGAGGAATTAGTGGCTGCGCCAATTTTTAATAAAAGGGAGGAGGAGGAGAAGGAGAAGAAGAAAGAAGTTGGCTGTATGAAACGAATCTTGGGAATTACCAAATCGCCACCACGAAGCAGAATGTGGTGGTCGAAACGAGAAAGCTGGAGAAGGCAAAAACGTCCATCAGCAAGAAAGTGATGATGCCGAGTTTGAGCGGCGTTTTTCATAGGAAGAAGAATAAAGTCGAAGGGGGTTCGCCTTCTTACTTGCCCGGCGAGAAACCCGTTTGGTGAGTTTGTCGTTTTATCGAATCGAATTCCTTGTGCAGTATAATTAATGGTTGCGATAAACTTGGTTTTTTTTTTTTTGGCCCTTTTGTGTATATTTGAGACATGTGGTGTTTGATTTTCGTTTTTCTTTCGTTCTTCGACTGGTTGGAGCAAAGCTCGGAAATATCGATTGCTTGACGAGTTATTTTTTTTTATTTTTTTTTTTATTTTTTGTATTGATGATGCAAGTGGTTATATAAATCGAATAAGAACTACCGGTTTTTACTGTTGAGAAGATGTCATGCTGTAACAATTTATTTTTTATTTTTCTCGCGTGATAAGTTTTTGGCACCGTTGCTGAAGTTATAGAAAGCCGAATGACTACTGCAATTAGTTTATGTACGCAAAAACGAAACCCTAGTTACCATTGTTTATATACGATCCTTTACGACGATTCTTTCCTTTCTCGATTACTCTATATTTGTACAACAATTTTTTTTTTAATTATTCAAATTTTATTACAAGGAGTAATAAAAGAGTGTAATTATGTGTAATTATTTACTCAATTTATTACAGTCAATTTAATGCCAAAAATTAAGAGCAATTATTTAGTGAATTTATTACAGTCAGTTACACATAATATTATACAGTTGGTAATCCAATCGGTATAATCTGATTAATTATTTTGGATTGAAATAATTGATTTCCTGTTAAGTAATTAATCAGTTGGTAAGATTTTGTTCGTTGAGTAAAAAACAAAAAAAAGAACAAACTTTTAGTAATTACGTTTTATTATTGCCTTAAAAGAAAAAAAAGAAAAAAAAAATCATTCTTGAAAAGAAACAAATACGCAATCAGTTTCCCTTTGTACTACTATGGCGCAACCAAATTGACTCTTGAGAAAAAAACAAGTCCCTCAATACCAACACACACACACACACACCAGAGTGGCGCGTGGCATCCACGCTCTCTCCACTGCAGCAGCGTCCAAATGTCGAACCCACTATTGGCCAGTATTCGCGAAGACCCTCTTCTGCTATTGAGCGGCCACCACCCCTCCTCCTCCTCTTCTCCGATCGCCGTCTCCGACGCCGACGGTTACCTCCTCGACCCATCCCAAATCGGCAGCGCATCTGGGAGCTTCCAGAACGACGGCGGCGGCTTCCTTGGCGGGGGCTACGACGCCGCCTTGATCAGCGAATCCGAATACGGATTCGCCCGACCCGATTTCAGGCAGGCCCCCCTCGTCGGAACCGTCGAGCCGTACGAGCGCCACGTGTTTCTATGCTATAAGAACCCGCAGGTGTGGCCCCCCCGCATTGAGGCTGCGGAATTCGATCGCCTCCCCAGGCTTCTCGCCGCCGCCTTGTCGGCCAAGAAGCCTAATATGAAGCGCCAGGTACAAGGGTTTGTGATTTTAAAATCCCAAAAAAAAAAAACAAAGTATTGATTTAAACACTGTTTGTGGATCTTGTGTTTTTTGTTTAATGTGGTCATGGAAAATTTTGATGTGTGATTTGTTTTGGTAGGGTTGTGAATTTTTCTGGGCTTTTTATGTCTGAATTTTTATCATCGATTTCGGTGTTGGTAATGTGAGTTTATGCATTATGCTGGGGAATGATTGGATGTTGATATGGAAGTAATATCTTAGTCGTTAAATTTTGTGCACCGTAAGTGTAGTGACGAAATTGATCGAGTCTCTGCATTTTTCAGTTCATGTTGTAGGAGTTTTTAACGAGCGTTATTCGATTTTCCCCAAACCGTTGTATTTCAAATTTTTTGCCGCGTGTGGTTTTTTTTGTTCCTTTAGCCTAATAGACTTACCGTTACGATGCAATGTTGAATCTCGTTGCGCGATTACAAACAGAAAGCATACGTTGTTATTTATTTTGTTGTATGCACGTGTACGAATTCTGATTAAGATCGTGTAAACACGACGGCATAATTCATCAGCAAGATTCCCCACCCTTTTTTGTATGAAATGTGGGTGTTTCTGCATGTAAATGCTATACGTAAGATAACAAACTCTCGATTAGAAGGGATTTTAATTCTCGATTACGGTCTTCACGATCCCTTTTCACGGCAATGGATATTTAAAATAATCATTTTCCTTTCGCTGTCGTTTTTTTTTTTCCCAGACTCGCTTAACAATATGCGAGGGGCGCGACGGAACCGAGACATCAAATGGCGACGTGCTAATCTTTCCAGATATGATCAGATACAGGTTAAAGATATGATCACAAACCCTACAACTCTCCTTTAATTTGTCGTTTCGTATTCTAATTATCAAATAAAAATTTCCAGGAGATTAACGCATTTTGATGTTGAAACGTTTGTTGAGGAAGTGCTCGTAAAAGACGGGGAATGGTTGCCTGGAAGTCCGGAATCTCTTAGAGGGTGGTACATCTTTGTGTGCTGCCACGGTACAAGGGATCGAAGGTGCGGTGTTTGTGGGCCGTCTATTATTAGTAAATTCAAAAGCGAGATCGAGAACCGTTGTCTACAAGGCAAAGTGTCCGTTAGTCCTTGTTCACACATTGGAGGCCATAAGTATGCAGGGAATGTGATCATTTTCGGGCCGAATTCGAATAAGGAAGTGATAGGGCATTGGTAAGTGTTTGACTAGTTTGTATTTTTTTCCGGGATTCTTGAAATTTGCTGATTATATTCTTACTATACATACTCGACACACTTACTATGTTTTGCAGGTATGGATACGTTATGCCTGAAGATGTACCGCTTTTACTTGAACAGCATGTTGGGAAAGGAGAAGTTGTGGATTTCCTCTGGAGGTAATTTCCTTTTAGGGTAAATTACGTTAACGACCCTTGAGATTTGACCTATTTACGAGACAAAATCGAGCTAAATTTGTTGGCAAATTGCGTAAAAGGAATCTCTGTAATACCTCAAGGCGGTATATGTAATTATTATAGAAGTTATAATCTGTCTTTTTATTTCCTTTGTGTTAGTTGACCAAATCTCAAGGGTAATTTATTTCGTTTATCGTGCAGATAAAGGTCAAATACAATTTCATGTTGATTTCGTTTTCGGTCTATTCTTACAACATTGTTAGCTACTAGAATGTGCAATATATTTAGATAGATATGATGTAACTAAGTGTAAAAGCAACTTTTTTTCCTGAAACGAGAAGGCAAAAGTATAGTTGTGTGTTTTATCGAGTTGATTTGACCTGGATTATTGTTCTATTACAGGGGACAAATGGGATTATCTGAAGAAGAGCAAAAACAATCGCAAGAACTAAGGTACCTGGTCAACGGTGGCACGCATACCGATACGATCACACTGGACTCTACACAGGAAAACGAAGGAATTGTCGCTGCCAGTGCATGTGGCGCGTCTCAATTGGACGGAACGGGATGCTGTCAGACGAACGGAGGAGATTCCTCTTGCTTTCAGAATCCCGTGTTGCAAGAGAAGAGTGGGCCCGATCAAGATTCCGAAGAGGCTGTCCTAAATTTCGCAGCTGAAAAGAAGAAGAGGTCGAAAAAGCAAGTCTTGAGAAATAACGGTGCTAAAAGGAGTGGACCGAGTAAAGTTTGCTCTATGCCTACATGGTACGAAAGCTGGGAGCGTGAAGATACGTACGCTGCACTTGCTGTTTTAGGCGCTGCCGTAACGGTTGCGTTTACTTATAAATTCTACAAACAGATGAGCTGAAATCGGTTGGTGGTGTGTGTGTATCTGTACGTGCCTTTTTATTATATGATTATGATTAAATTAATTCGGCTCGAAGATTAGATTATTATGGTTTTGGTGATTAAAGGGCTTATAGACCTTTTGAAAGAAACGGGAAACCGAAGACGCAAGAATGCAGGTTTTACGTGCTGCCTGTTTTATCTCGCTGCCCTACTTTCTTGGTAAATGGCTGAATTTGAATCTGCACTATTTATTTATTTTTATTTTTATTATTTAGAATGATTGGTTTTGTATATTGTTAATTGTATGTACAGTGAGCTTATGATTTAAGTTCTTCAATATGTGCTTTATTATTATTGTGCTGTGTTTGTGTGTGTGTGTGTGTGTGTGTGTGTGTGTGTGTGTGTGTTTGATAATAGCATCTCTGGCATTGAAGGAACTAGGAT